CTGTGACGCCCCCCATGTGGCGCCCTGCCCATTCGCCCCCCACCATGTCTGCTTTTCCTATTAACCCCATTTATTTACCCTTCACTTCTTTCTTCTTATCACTTACTCCTTTGGTCATAAAATAAAAAAAATTTGTTTTATTTATAAGTTATTTTATTAAAATTTCAAATTGAATGTATTATTTTATCTTTTATTTATTATAGTATAGGTAGTTATTTTTTTCGAAAGGTATATATATATTAGACATGAGTAAAGTTGAAAAATTGTTACTCCTCTAGTGCTTGATATAAGACCTATTTAACTGATTTAATTAAATTAAGAAAGTTAGTTAATTATAAAAAATATAACATGTTTTTTTTAAAATACTATAATTATCTTTCTCAATATCTTCCTTCCCTCACTGATTTGATTATGGTTGAAGGAGTATATCTATAGGGGTAATTTAGAAAAATTAATAAATATGAGAAATAGGTCTTATATTTAAGATCAAAATTAACTTAATAGTTAAGTCCTATATTATAAGGACCAGAGAAGTATATTTTAATATAGAGTTAATGCATTTTAAGGTTTTTCTTGGTTTGTGTGAAATGTGCTGAAAGTGTCTTATAAATAGGACCAGAAGAGTACATAATAATCATATTAAAAAATGGTGCACAAACAGTCTTCAAAAAAGTAAGAAAAATTGACAAAAAAGATAGCCGAAATAAAAAAGTTGCAAATAAAGACCCATGACAATATTAGTATGTGTTTTGATAACAATAGTACGTGTTTTGACAATAATTTTTGTAAACCAGTCTCTGTGTACAATTTTTCTATGTTGCGGTCTTTTTTTTTGCCATTTTCTCAAAAAGTAAATTGTAGTATTATTTATAGTTTATGAAGGGTGGAACGTGTTAACATTTTTTTTATTTCATATATAAATATCCAACCAAGCTCACAGTTTAGTAATTTCACCATTCTCATTAATCTACGGTTAAATTTTGATTATGCATACAACTATAAAAAAGTAATACAATGAAATGATATAATTGATTTTTCTTTCATTAATTTTCTCACACCAGTACAAAATAATGATTTAATATCACTTTCTTTGTGTTGCTTGTATTTGAAACTGACGTAGTAATAAATCATCATCACCAAGCGGCTTTTCTGGCTTTCTTGCTTTATTTGCTAGCAGGTTAGATGTCCTCTAGTATTTAATTTTCTAATTTCGTTCTTGCCTCTCGTCACTTATTTAATCTGTGCTAGTGTTGATTAATTTTTACTCACTCTCTTTTTTAGGAATATTTATGTGAGTGTACATTATTAGTGTTAATTGAATACATTATTGATCTCTAATCACCACCATTTTTAATATATATATATATATATAAGATATAAAATTTACGAGACAATTAATGCATGAGGAAACGTGTGGACCGAGAGAGTCATTCGTATAGTGAAATGCAGAAGATTTAATTTTAGTGGTAGGGGAAGAGCTTAGAGTACTACTTCCAACTACACTACACTCAGCTGTCGTTCATAGTTGTGGTTGAAAGTTAGATGATTTTTGTAATACCTTGAAAGTGACTTCCTTCATCATTAATATTCTCTCCTTATCTTTTTAATCACATTCGAATCGTCAAAACAATAAGCAATCATATAATTTCATATGCAAGACTTTTTAAAGGACCCAAAACAGATCAAAGTTATTGATAATCACTTTCATCCTTTCCAGATTAATTACTTTATATACCCCAAAATTCAAAATATTAAAACTAGCAGGATTCATTAACCTCAAAATCCTATGACTAATAATTCTATGTCTATTCAAGTTTTCGTATTTGATAAGATAAAGAGAGAATGTTTTTTTTTTATCTTATTTAATTTATAAAGCACTTAATTCAATTTTTAGCATCAATGTAATATTTTGTCCTTTATTTATTATAGCATAGATATTAACCTTTTAGAAAGTGTATATATTAAATAAGGATAAAATTAAAAATTGTTATATTTTAAAAAGGAATTAATACAGTTAAAATTTTTTTATCTGTGTAAAACATACTGCAAATACCCTATAAATAAGACAAGATGAGTATCTTCTAATATTATTTGCGGACACAAAGATAATCTCATGAATATCACAACGTGGGAAAGCGTACGCACTGTTAGATCGATACACTTAGATAAATCCAACAAATAAGTTTATAATATTGAGGGGGTAAAACATAAAGCGATTTACTTTTAACAACGTGAAACTCGTGAGAAAGGGACATGTGGAGGCTGTGTGAGAAAAGGTTTGCAGAAAACACGAACACGTAAAACGACTCTGCGTTTGATTTACAGGAGATGGCGGCCGGCAAGATTCTTTAACTTGGACTCTCACAAGATACGTACAAGTTACCTTATTCGCCAAATCAATCAAATTATAATTGTGATGTCAACAGCGAGGGAAGCAGGCACAGCAACACATTAATTAGAATTTAATGTTTTTGAGTAAGTGACGTGGGTATTTTAAAAAAAACTTATCACAAGTTATTAGTATATAAATTGAATAAAACTAATAAAACTTTTTTTTTAATTTCCGAATTAGGTAAAACAAGTCCTATATTGAAGGAGGGGAAGCAGTACACTAAACCATATTTGAAAGTACTCTCATGGCAAATAGGAAGCTAGGCCGAGGTCGCTTTTAGCTGTGTGGCTCAGGTCCTCACTTGTCTTTTCCTTTTCGACGTATCATTATTTTTGGAACCTGCAGGGTTTATGTTCCCTCCCTAGACTATAGATATAAATAGAAGGGAAATCAGAACCGACTTCCCAGAACTGACAGGTTTAAAAGAGTCGGCTTTTTAGGATTGAAATTTTAAAAATATCTCAATTTGCTAAGCTCGACCCTTAAGCCAATAAGCTCAAAGCTGGCCCGTGGCCTTTTAGCTCATTTAAGGGGAAAAAATTATTTTTTTATATTTCTCATATTTTTATTAAAAAATAAAAATAAACCAATAAAATTGTTAATAAAAGACATAAATATGAATAAAATTAAGTCACAAATACAAAATATCATCATATATAAATATCCATCAACATCCAAGAATATCTAAAATATTTATTAACAAGATAACAACATCCAAAAATTTTATCTATAGTGCAATTGTGCAATAAATAAATACTATTATTAATCTTTTGAAACTTAATCATCACTATAATCAATTACTCTTTTTCAGAAGTATGCTTTTCTTTCGTAACAAAAATATCAAGTTTTTCTTTTTTATAAGAATTTTACTTTTAAATTTTGTAATCTAACTGTTATTTTTACTTTAATGTGAGAAACATTGTTGTTGAAACTCATAAATTTCTAATTCAAATTATAGAATCACAAGTTATATAAGTATAAAAATACTTTATTATCAAATATATATATAGTTTAAAAATATCAACGCAGATAATATAAATCAAATCATTATTAAAATCCAAATTAACCCATTTTTTAAAAATTTAATTGGATAAATTATTGTTTAAAACTAAATAAATCAAATCATTCGGTAAAATTTAATTTTAAAATGATAATAATAACTAAATATTTAAAATATTATTAATAATATTTGAATTATATAAAAAAATTTTAAAAAATTATAAAAAGGTCTAAACAGGCTGGTCCTTTTAAACCCTCAACCCTCCAGGACCTGTTTGCTATTTGAGGGAAAAAATTTCAAACCCAGCCCTCATAATTTCAGGGCATAAACGGGCTTAGCCCGTTTTTCAGGCTCTAAGTCTATAGAGTTAAATGACCAAATTACCCTTCATCACCTAAACTAGTCAAAACTGGCCGAAAAAAGGTCTTCCTTAATCATAATTTGTAAGCTATTTGAAAGAGTTTACTAATTTGATCTTAAATGAAATATCAATTTATTTTATCGTGAAAACTTATAATCTAATGGCATCAATAGGAATAATTTTATCACAAATTATTGAGAGTATTTAAAAAAGAACTAACACGTGTATTTTATAAAGTAAATAATTAAATTAATTTTTTAATGAATGTAATAAATTAGTTATCCAAACTGTTGTAGTATCTAGTATGGATGAGAGTAATTTAAATTAAAGTGTGATGGAGTTATAAAGATGAACTTGTTGCGTGTTGGAAAGATTCCCAAACATTGTCTAAGGTTCGCTGCCACAGCCCGACAACAAATTTTCCTTATCTACATCATGAGCATCAAACTCATCATGGGATTTTGTCGCCTGGGAAGGATCCCTTTGAGATTGCTTCCATTACTTCTGCTTCTTTTCCACACAGATCGTTTCATTGCAACATTCAAACCAACAACCCTTAATCTTATATAATTATAGTGCATAAACATAACATTAAAATAAGTGTGTGTTCCTTATTCTCAGTTATTTCTCATTCGTCTGATTGTACCTCCATCACTTCAAATAAACTATAGTTCATCTAATTCCCGACACACGCACGTCCTACATAAAATCTGGTCTCATTCAATAATTTGTTGATGTTAATAATTAACACTTACTCTATATTTTATCTTTTATTCTCCTTCCAAGCTAAACTTATTTAATTTCTCATTATTACTATACACAGATGCATATTAAGAGCCTTGCTCTAAAATATTAAATGTACCTACTATAAGGTGAAAAATATGTCAAATACATATCTTAAACGAAAACTCCACAAACATCCCTAGAGGGAGATCATTGAATGATTCAATGAAATTATTCTGTATCACTCCTATCCTAAATATAAGTCACTTGTAGTATTTTTAATATTTATTTTTCAATTTTACCCTTAGTCAATTCTTATCAGAAAGAGAGAAAGAATTTTAATAAGGGTAAAATTGAAAAATTTTATCAATTTAATGCACTCCTTGATATGCAAGAATGCATTACAAGTGAGTTATATTAAACACCGGAGTGGTACAATTTATGAACATGAAAATCACATCCTACAATGTGATTACACCCAACGTGGAAAGAGAAACAGACACAAAACAATCAGCCTCGATCGACACTTTTAACATATGACGAGTCTATATTATGCTGTGTCTACCTTTCTCGTGACTATACATTGATGCAAATTCTGATCTGAACCCTGACGGACCTGAGTCCATGAATGAGTCATCACTTAGTAGATTTAGAAAAGAGAAATCCATGTCCTCATCTGCAGATTCAAAGAATTGCCCTACCATCCAATTCTGAGCAAGATCGGCTTCATCTCCTCTGGAATAATCATCGACCACGCCGACCTGAGCTCCAACGTTGTTGTCACCAAGGTTGTCGCAGTCACAGTATTCAAATTCATTCGCTGCTTCGTCATCATCAATGTTTTCAGGCACTTGTGGCACCTCTGGTATGAGCAAGCCATCAACGTCAAAATCGTCAAGGAAACCATAGGAAGACAAGCAACCATTCATAAGATCTTGTGCAGTGTCCAGTGCAGAAGCAGTCGTATTATTCTGGGTTTCCCACTCTGCTGCCGCTGCAGTTACACGAAAACCATACAAATGATAAGGACGACAAAAACAACAACAATAATACCTCAAATACATCAATTTCAACATCAAACGATAATTAGTTACTCTATTTTCATACCATTGGATTCGGGCAAGATGATTTTCTTGGTGCATCTGGTTGCTTTTGCTCGAATCACAGGGTTGAGGTGGGAAGAAGAATCTGCAGGACAGTAAGCATTGAAGGGGGGGTTTCTCGTGTATTGAGCAGATGTTAACGTTGGGGCTGTTGAGGGGGACGTGGTCGGAATAGTTTTGGTGGCTCTAATTATTGGATCTGATGAGGGTTTGTTGTTGTGGGAATAATCCATCGAATGGGCCCTCTTGCTCAAATTGGTGTTCCAGAAATTCTTGATGTCATTGTCTGTTCGTCCCGGTAATCTTCCCGCGATTAAGGACCACCTGAGTTTCATTATTCACTAAAATCATTAATCAATTATAATTACGTGGCTTGAAATATAATGCATATACTATCATAGGAGTATTTATACAAATCACGATTAATGGTACTGTGATTTAATTTGATCTAGTTTGTGAAAACTGGGGCGTGACATTTTGATCTCCCGTCAAAATTTAATGAATTTGAAATTTGAATTATGCTAGCATAAGATATTGCATGATCGGTTGGGAGTAGGATGTAGTTTGAACGACAGGTTGTTCGTATTCAAAGTTTGTCGGCTGTCTGAGCCAACTTGAGTGGTCTTTCCAAGCCACTGCGGAATGACATTAATGGCAGGGCCAAAAAAGGAAAGTGCATAAAAAACACATGACGAAAATAAAGCAAACTAAGTGATTTAAGTAAATTTATTTCGGTATCATATTTTCAAAATGTTACTGTGATATTATAACATGAATTTATAAACAATTTAAAACATTAATTTCTAAATTGCTAATTATTTTTGTGTATTTTAAATTTTTACACATATTATGTTATATATTAATATTTAAAATTTGAGTAGTTTGTGAACATGTGGACGAGGATCAGAGAAAAGAAAGAGAGGGGAGGAGGAGGTTTGTGAGAGAGGGCTATGGATAGCTGGCAGACTAGAAATCGCATGTGGTATGAACGATTTGTGTTTTGCTTAAGATTGAAATGGTTCTTGTGGAGAATGTTTTTATCTATATATAGCATCCTCATAAATAATTTCCACGATGCGACAACGTTTCGGTAATTTTGTTTAGAGTGTACGGCATTTGGCTCAAAAAGCCAAAAAAGTGTGTACATGTGTGTGTGTGTGTGTACCTGTTGCCCAGGAGCTTATGGAGTCTGATAATGAGGTCTTCTTCATCTGCAGAAAAGTTTCCTCTCTTGATATCTGGCCTAAGATAGTTCATCCATCGAAGTCTGCAACTCTTTCCACATCGATTCAGCCCTAATCACTCACAAGCCATCAGATGACAATATTCTTAACAGAACATCGGCAAAATCACCCAACAAATTAACAGCTTGGATTGAGTTTTGAAACAAACAGATAGATAAAATAATAATGGCTTCAGGAGATCATCCTATAACCTTAGAAAAACATACCTGCTCGCCTTGGAACGTCCCTCCATTTTCCTTCTCCGTGGACTTTAATGAAGTTGGCAAGGATCTGATCCTCCATCACAGACCAGGTTCCTCTGTTTACGCCTTCTTTATCACAACACGGCCTCCTTCCCATTCTCTCTCTCTCTCTCTCTCAGCTTCTCAGTTTCTGGGTCTGTTATAATTCTGAGTGTGTTTCTGATCGTTGGTTACTTTATATTCTCACGTGTAGTTTGGGCGCCGACCAAATCAAAGCGATGAACAATCTACACCGTTCATATTCCAATTTTTTTTATTTTTTAAAATAATTATTTTAATGGGTGAAAAGTTTAAAATAAAGATAATTTTTAATTATCATTTTCCCACAAAATGATTTTTATACTTGAAAATAAATAATTAAAAATTGTAAATCTAAACCGTTCAAATCCTATTTGAAGAGTCGACATCCGGTGAGTTTTGTATGCTTGTCATATCATGAGTGTGTGCTATGGGCCAAAAACGTGTTGCATTCAATCAATGTAATGCTTAAGCATTCTAATTAATTAATTTGGTGTGGAACTCAGACGCGGCTATTGGAAACTATCGCATCCATTGACAAAATTTGTCTAATGTTATTATGTTAGTACTATTCAATTAAATGCCTATTTTTTGTTTGCCCTTCCATTTATTAAACTAAAATTTGAAATGTTATATATATATAATATTATAGTACTATCTCTAATCGTTATATAAGAGTTAAATAACTAATTTGGAGATATTAAAAAAATTAATTAAATTAGTTCTTTGTAATAAATAGATGTTGCTTTCTTAAACTATCTTTGTTGATCATGTACTTGAACTATCTTTTGATGAAAACTCCTTAACATGTGTAATCACATAAGGATTACTTAGGGGCAAATTAAAATGAATAAATACTTAAGACAAAGTGGATTGATGTGTTATCAAGGAACAAAAAACCAGACCAAAAACTAAACCGGTCGAGATAGTAGGTAAAGGGTTATCGATTGGACAAGGGATAGGACTGGGGTCGGACCGATCATATGAAAATAATATAATTTAATCGACAACATTAAAATAGAATAAAATTCATAAATAATAATCACTCAAAATTCAGCAACTAATTCAGATTCATTATTCACAAAAATCAAATTCAATTTCAGACTTTCAATTTAGCACTTCAGCTTCGGACGTGTGAGAAAGACTCCGATATTGGAGGAAAAGAAAACATAAAAGATCAAGAAACTTTGATTATTGGAGGCTGGAAGCTATACACATTTCATATCTCAATCTAACTCACAGTTGGAACACAAAAGCACGACCAAGGAAGGAAAAAGCAGAACATATCGAACTGAAAGAAAATAACTAACCAGTAACCATACAACAAGAGCACAAAAGCTAAAAACAAGTAGAAGGAAAAGGAAGAACTTGCAGGCTACGACAGTGGTTCTACCACCATGAAGAAGAAATGATGACGAGAAGCGACGAGTTGCTGCTGCGACTTGCAAATCTGATTGAAGAACGACGACCTACTGCTTCGACTGGGACGATGTCACGTGAAGATCGGTGACTTCCAACTGTGAATTAGAAAACGACGGCTATAATGAGGGTGGATTTTGGCTAAGGATTTTCAATTTGGGGGGAGCGAAGAAAACGACAAAGCTAAAAGTGAAAACTGAATGTTTGATTTTCTGAAGTTGAGCCTCGCCTTTGATTTTCACCTCACTGTATTTTTTAAAAAAATTTCTTCAACCTGAAACGGCATCATTTCCCATCAAACCAAGTAATCTATCAATTTGACTGGTTGCCCAGTTTTGACCGGTTGAACTGGTTTTTAAACTGTTCATTTGGGAGGCAGTTTTTTCATCAAACCAGACTAGACCTGTCATCGGTTTACCGGTTTTTTGATTGAATCGGTCAGTCCGATCTAGTTTTTTTTTCCTTGGTTATTATATCAGAACCAAATTAAATCTTTAACTAGTTTTAATATTAAAGATCAAAAGTAGTATTACCAATGAAAGGAATATATTGCTGCTAATAAAAATGAAAGCATTTTTGTAAGGAGGGAATTTAGCTTAATAGGTAAAAATTACTATCTCCGGTCTTTAATATGAAAGCTAGTTGACTAATTTGAGTAGATTAAGGTAATTAGCTGAGTTAGTTATTTGTAATAAATAGATATTATCTTTACTTAAATACCCTTACGAATCAAGTGTCATTTGATGAAATATTTAACATGTGCAACTACTATAAAAACTATCTTAAAAAAATAGATAAATATGAGAGACAAAATGGATTAAAGTTTTATATTTAGGATCAAATTAAAAGTCAAACTAACTCTTATATTAAGGGTCGGAGGTAGTATTATACTTATAGGTTTTTATCTATTTGAAAGTAAATACCACATATTAATTTTGAATTGTGTTGTATCGTAATTCAAACTCTAAATAATACTAAGCTAGTTATACTTCAAAACTCAAATTCGAAATTCATAAGGATAAAATATACCAGTACTTTTGTTTTGATTTAATTACTGGATGACAAAAACTAAAAATAAAATTCATTATTGATTTCAATTTATCGCCTTCTTTTCTATAAATGATGATACCACAACAAGTGATGGTGATGGCTTCAAAGAATGCAAATTAAGTATTTTTTTTCCCCCGGGGCATATACAGCTCATAAAACGCCAGAATATGCAGTGCATGCTGAAATAGGAAAGATTAGGGACCGTATTTATGCTGAACGGGATGTTGAGATCAGAAGGGTCCCACGGAATGCACCGCGTTGTGCTGACTATTTAGCAAAGGAAGTACACGACAATGTGGAAGACAAACGAATGATGAGGGAGGCCCCCCAGGATGCCGAGCACAGCTGGAGCTAGATAGAATGACAGTTTTCCAACTCTCTTTCAAGTTTTTACTTGCCTGTTGATTCCAAAAAAAGAAAGTGACCGAATTAATGCAGCAAACATAAATAAAGCAAATTCCTTTTTCATTTTCTAAAAAACATATAATTAAAGCATCAAATAGGGCCATGAAGATTTGGTTGCATTGGGGTCCACCATTGGCAGTGGACAAGAGAGACAAAATTACAGATAGGCGAAAATGAATTGAAATAATCAGAGAGTTCACATCGACAAAATGAGGTTGAAGGGCAATAAATCACCCTTTTTTTGGCAAAAACAATAGTCATCCCAGTCCTATTGAGAAGGACGTCGTAAATAACATATCGACCCCACTAGCAAAAGATAAATCAAGAGGATTACTGTGCATGTATACATTGAAAATAATATTCGAGATTTAATATTATTATATCAGATTTAAGTATTACCATACTAAAGCGGTTTTACCTAGTCATCGTTTTTCGATTAGTACTAAAATGACAATAAGGGGAGGGGGAAAAGAAAAAGGAAGGGGAAATGTTTTCTCTCATAATATATATTTATATGGCCATGAAAAGACATGATTAGTGTAACAGTAGCAACTAATTTAGTGTGAAGGCAATAATTCACTATAGAAAGGATGGGGGGCCCGTGGATATTTATTTTTCATTTAAGAGAATTATAAAAAGCATGCAACGTTTTTTTCTTTTTCTTTTTAAAAATACTACTTTGAGGAGAAAACATGTGGGTCGAATAGCTCTATTTTTCTGGTCCACTCTTATTTTCTTTTACTATGTGAATTGGAGAAAAACCTATTTTCCGTCCTGTTTCTTTCAGGGGAGTTAGAGTGAAAATGAATTTGGTCCAATTGATCTATTCTCAAAACCCCACTGATCAGAACACGACATTGAAACTTGGATTATGAAAAGTAGCTGAGCCAACCCTCCCATCATCATCCTCCATTCATACGTCTCATCACCAAACTATCATACACATCTCACAGCTTACTCCATTATTGCTTCCATTTTTAACACCTCTATATGACTTTACTCTTTTGTCCTTTTTTCAAGAACCAAATCTTCTTCTCAGTCAGAAAGTAGTTAATTATTTCCGTTGTATAAAAAAGGAAAATAATTATGTATTTGTTCAACTTACATCAGATTTGATAAAGGGAACATGACACAAAAAGATCGTGACAATTGCAAAATGTCAAATCAGGGTTTTTCACAAAAATATTTTGTTATTGGCCAGTTAATTGTTGTCAAAACCTGTTAAACTGTTGTAGCAAATCCTGATTTGAGATTTTAGAATTTTCAAGTTCTTGTTTGTCATTTTCTCTTGGATAAATTGAAGTTATTTTATTAAATAAAATTTGGTGTGAATTCTTTGATCAGATCGGACCTTCGTTGCCAGTAGTGGAACTCACCAGATTAAAAGTAACGGACATTTCTTAGAAATAACGGCCGCGTTACTTTTAATTAGTTTTGCCCCATCTAGAATTTAATGGAGGCCCTCGTGACCAAAAAATCTTCTTATTAAAATTTCACCCTAACTCTTGAAAAAATTAGGTTGCTTGTTCATGGTGAGTGGGATGTAACAGTAACTAACCACTGTTTCAGGAAAGATTTTGTTCTTTTCTGAATTTTAAAGTCCTCCCACTGAATAAAACTTTATTTCTCTTCTCAATGCACTTCTACCTTATCAATGGGTGGATCTTGTGTGAGGGTCTACTCACGTGTTAAATGATGTACAAGTCTTTATTCAAAAAATAATTGTATGTAAGAAATTAAGAATCCAAATTTTTTATTAGATGATAGAAAAGTAGAAAGATGAGGCACAAGCTTTTTCTTTTAAACGCCAAAGCCATGCAGTACTTTTTCTTTTAATACATAAACATTGAATATTTTTCCAAATCATTGTCTTAAAAAGTTCGAACATTTTTGGGCATCATATGAATCGACGAACGCTTTTAGTTTATATACATATATATATATATATATAATTTTTTAATATTATAGTTACGGCTGAGGTTTTTTCTCAATAAAAAAGTATAAAAATTATATTATTTAAGTAATTTACACTAGCTAGCATCAGCTAAATGTGAAAGAACAATAATTGTGAGTTAGCATATGGAGGGCCTGTGCTCTTAAAAGGAGCAGGCCGTGGTAGGACCCTTCCACAATGATAATGGTCCCAGATGAAAACTGAACAATGTGCAAAATAATTAAATAAATAAAAATGTGCAAAATAATTAAATAAGATCTCAAAATTCA